CGGAAACCCTAGCGCGGCGAGCGCTGGCGTCGCCACCGCCGGAGCTCCGCCGAGCGTCGGCCTCGCGCGCAACCTCTTCTTGCCGCCGCGGATGACTACGGCGCCGGCGCCGGGTGGCGTCGCGCCGGCGCCATGGCTTCTCACACACATTCCCATGAAGATGCCGTTGAAGATCTTGCCAACACCGTCGGAGCTTCACATGATGCGGTGCGTGATGCGGTGCGTGATGAGGATAGGGAGGAAGGTTCATCTTCGGAGGCGGAAGAGTCGTCTTCGAAAGAGGACGAAGACGAAGAAGAGGAAGATGAAGATGAAGCTTGATGTGTCTTTCATGTCTTGAACTTTTAGTTTGCATTTGAACTTGGTTGGATGAACTTGTGGGCATGATTTTGATGAACTTGTGGGCATGAACTTTTATTCATCAACTTGTTTGTGTCAAATTTTACATGTTCATTTTTGTCCAAAATATCCATATATGCAAAATGCCCGGCGAGTCGCGCGCGCTGCATTTTAGCATGCTGCTGGAGCGGCGCGCGCGCGCTGCATTTCAGCGCGGCTGCTGAAGCCAGCGCAGGCGGGCGCGCAAAACCAGCCGCAGCGCGCGCGCTAACAGGTTTTTTGCGCGCGGCGCTTTAGCGCGGCTGTTGGAGATGCTCTAAAAACAACATTGAAAGCAACAAATTTGACAATAGAATAAGACAATTATCGCTTTTTTTACATCAAAATAATGTTGGATGAAAACGAATGACATAATTTACTGCTGGAAGAAATAGATCATTGTACACAGCTATCATCCAGAACTCTCATAGTTTCCAATAAATCCCCAGCTTGTGCAAGATGCCAGAGACAACACCCCAGAAGAGGATCTCTCCAAATATGACGTACAGCAGAGTTCCCAGCCTTTCTGAATGCCAGACATTGACAAACACATGCTTTTGGATCCAGTTAACCTGCCAAAAATAACAAGACAAACAAATTAAGCCCATGCAAATACAGGCTCCAAATGTCACTACCAAGTTAACCTTCACCCATTACTTACAAGGGTTTTATCTTGCGACTCATAGTACCATCCGTTCACAAATGCTGCAAATATGCCTTGTGCCGCTAGGACGTACACAAGCATGGCGTTCATGCCGATCCACTCGAGGAACAAGAATGGTACTCTCAGGCCCCAGACATCAATCTATCATTGTGACAATGAAATGAGTAAATCATTGGGAAAGAGCTAATGGAAATGCAGCAATTTCATGCTCTAGGTACTTATGATAAACCATACCAGCATGTAGAAAGCTGACAGAACTATTCCAGCCGCGCCGGCAGTGAAGCAAACGTAACTGATACTGTAGAGTTGCTTATTGATTGGAATGGCTGAAATGGAAGGGTGATCGATGTAAGATTCTCAGGTCACAGTTTGTAGTAATTAGATCAAGTGTCGAAAATGGATTGTTAGGAAACCTTTTGTGAAGTGAAGGAGAATGCCGAGCAAGAGGAGCGAAATGCCCATCGAAAGCCAGTGTTTCAGTCTCTCCTTATGGGTCTAATATTAAGAAACTTTGATGTCATAGTTGCTTTTATCATAACCAAATGGTACCGGTACAATGTTTTGGATAATCACCTTGAAATGGATTAGAACATGGCCATAGTGGATTCCAATTGTCCCTGATAGAATCGACGATATTGAGCTGAAACATAAAACAGGGAAAATACTTAAATATTTGAAATAAACAAACTATATAACTAAGATTAATTCAGTGTAAGCTATGTTGGATCTCCAACCTTAACAATCCTTCTGGTTCGAATGGCGCAAGACACCATGATGGAGCATCGGCACGGAGAGGACCTGATTCTGGTGAGCTAAATGTACAATCCTGAAAATGGCAATTTCAGTGCACATATTGTCAGACTTGCACTTTCTAGCTTAATGTGTAGTATATCATTTAGCTGGTAAGGAAAACTTTCTGCAGCTACTTATACATAACAGTGAAATAAAATATGAACATATTAAGATTACAGTTCTACCTTAGTCCGGATCCAAACGGGCTGCGAGTAGAGATGATTAATCCCCCAGACCACCCTATCAACATGACCCACTGCATTGCAAGCCGGATCCAGGTGACCCCTTACACCACATTGTACCTGAAAACGCAAGTACTTGTATCAAATACGGAAATAATCAACAGGGATAGCATCCTAAAGGTTAGCTCCAAGTACCGTAAACCGCTTCCCATCATTGACATCGCCATCCGAATGGTACACATAGCTCCAATCTGGAACATACAGCGAGAACGTCGTGACCATGTATACGACGAACACGATGAAACCGCCTAACCTGTCGATTGTCAGAAATGGCAAGAATTTTCCATCATAATCAGGGACAGGAAAAATTATGAATATGCAGTTTACAGTGCAGAAAGACAAGTATCAGCGAAACATTATTGTACCATTGCCACCGGTAGGCATGGAAGATGGCGTAAGGACCGGAACGGACGGTGACAGGCCGCACCTTTATGGTGAACACCTCTATGAGGGCAACCACGAAGTACACCAAAGCTATCCTCTGATGAGCCATCGTCAAATATAAGGAAAGAACTATGTTATGATTAAGACCTAGATGGATGACGAAATGAACGACAAGTTTGTTTGTCTAGTAAATATAAACCGAACCTGGAGGATGCCACACCATCTTATCACCTTCATGTCCACTCCATAAGCAAGGTCGTCCGGAGCGTGAGAGTATCCACCTACATCCGAGTTCGATAGTGTCAAATCAAGCAACATGGCTGCAAACTGAATTGTGTAAACACTCTACACATCGGCTTCAAGTACCTTGCAGTAGCAGGCCCCAGAAAAGCATTTTCAGTGTTCTGACGCTGACCTTCTTCACAGCGGCACCCATGTTTGGAACCCTCTGCAAAATATTCATCGTGATGAGCATTTAACATAATCTATATATCCACCAAAAATGTTTTGTTTACCAAATTTGCACGAGTATGAGCACGGAGAAGTGCTTTACTGACCTTCATGGCAAAGGCGATCGCAACACCGACGATGAAGAGGAAGAAGGGCATGACAAAGTCTGCCAGAGTGCAACCGTTCCACGGCGAGTGGTCCATCCGCTGGTAAGCCCCGCCGGCATCGTCCACCAGTACCATCAGCTGCACGCAAGAGATTGTCAGCAGTTCATATGCATGGTGACTTGTAAGCATTTCGTAGTATATTTGCTTGGGAAAAAGCAATCATATGTGCATATTCGGAGGAACATAGCTAGTACCACAATGGTGAGCCCTCTGAAGGCATCGAGAGCCGCCACCCTCGTGCTCTTCTTCTTCTGGGGCTCCTCAACAACGACCAGTCTCTCCTTCTCGGTGTCATCTCCGGCTCCGGCGTGGACGACGCCCTTGCCGTCTCCATGCTCCACCTCTACGGGAACTACATCAATGGCGTGCTGCTCTGAACCTTTCTCACCGCCGGATGCCGCTATGTCCTGCCCCTTCTCCATGGTAAATGTGTGTACAACTCACCTGATTAGGTTCTAGTACTTGAAAGCTGAAGCATTGGCACCGAACTACTTGGAATCTTACGAGATGAGTGGAGATTATGTATGTGGAATTTTATATACAGCTACACAATCATAAGAATTGTCCGTCAATCTGTCCTGCCACAAAAAAATGTTTAATTAGGTGCTAAATATATACTGGCACCAGCGTTGGGTTGCCGTCTTGTGGTATTTTAAGTTTTAAGTTCATGTTTTCTATGAGTGCGTGCTCGTCGCTTTCCTTGTTTGCTCAGCAGGGGCTTCACGTCCTCTGATTTCCATGTGTCAAGACCTTGATTGATAACCCTTTTTATGGTCTGTACAAATAAACAATGAGGGCACATTTGTTAATCAGGGTAAGTTCTACGCTGACAAGTGCTCCACTGCTACTGACTTTTTTTGTATAATTTATTTATTGTTTTAGAACACACATACATTTCAAGGAGAGATGCATTGTTCAAAAATGCAAATTTGGCATCACTCTCTCTTCAGATCGGCCAGTGTAACAGCTTAGGCGTGGTTGCCGGCGCCACGCTGTTTTTTCTTTTTTCTTCAGAACGCTTGATCTCTACCTTCTTCATCAATGGAAATCGGCGCCTAGCTAGCTGCTTTTTCGTCAAAAAAATGGCGTGATTCCCTTGTTTAATTAATTAATAGGTGCAAACGCTGTACCATCTACCATCTTTTTCCTCGATGGTCCATAGTAATTCGCAATTCAATACTACAGAGGTGCGTATCGGAGAATCAGTCCGTATGGAAGAGGACATGCGTCGCCGGCCGGCTCCGTTTGGATACCGGCATGTATATGTTCTTATATTGTTTTAGGGCGTGTCGCTAAAGGATGTTGTTCCACTTGGATAAAGACTAGTGATCGAATTATACATGCGGCTGGGTTACACCGGACGTCTCCAGTACGTATACTCCAAATAGTTATCAGATGTTGTGGCCCTTGTGGTTAATGGCTAGCACAGGGAGGGAAATGCCATTTTCGTAGCACCCAGCCGCGGGGCGTCGACATCCAACGAGTAGTAGTCACTCCATATAAAGTTAGTACAAAGTTGAAACAATTATTTTAGAAAGGAGGGAGTAGTATGTAGCTTAAAGAAAAAAAAAACCCCAACGTATGTGGAAGAACTGCCGAGTATGCATCTTTTCTATGCCGCACCTCGTAAGAAAAGGGCCAGCGCTCAGCGCCAGTGACCGGCGCAGGCATAGAACACGGTGGCCTTCCGCACCGTGAGAGATTAGGATGATGGTAACCGTTGGATCGCGCATCTGCATCGTCTTAGCCTTGCCTCCATTTTCGCAGGTGCAAATCCCCCACGCACGAGGCAGCAGCAAAACGGCCTCCTCGCAGCTCGCGTTGCGTCCCTTGCTCATGTGTGAGGACCCATGCCTAGTAGTCCTGCCGTTCTCCTATAGGTACTCACAGCATCGTCCATGTTGTGCGTCGCATGGCGCAGCCGCTCTCCCCATCCGGTGGCCGGAGTTGCAGCACATATCCCTTCTTCTTTTCTTGAATACGCAAGGTAGAAATAGTAGCAGACAAGAGTTACACAAAAACCTCTCACGCGCACTGACACACGACGCGGCGTGAGTCAGTAGGCTAGGGCGTACATACAGAAATGTGGGGTGTACGCACCCCCAAATTTAGAAGTTCTACGTCTCAGGCAAAATAGTGCACATGCCGGCGCCCGCACGGGCCTAGGCGCGAGCCTCTTCCTTGATCGTCGAAGAAAGGTGGGAGACGGGCGGCCTGTCATTGTCGAAGACACAAACGTTGCGTTGCTTCCAGATCCAAGTGGTGAGCAGCGCAAGCAATATGAAGCCGCGACGCAAACAGAGCGGGGAGCCAGTAGCCGATGATGCAAGCCAATCAAGGAAGGGGACGTCCGCAGATGGAATGGTGATCGGAAGCCGGCACCAACCCAAGTGCCATACTTGTCTAGAGAACTGGCATCCCGAGAGCAAGTGGGGCATGGTTCCCGGTACCTGGTCACTAAGGGAGGACGTCGAGTCATGCGGCAATCCATGTCGGGTGAGGCGCTCTACGGTCCAGCATCGATCTAGCATCTCTAGCAGTTGGCCCCCCAGAGGCCTTAAAAATCGCCGCCTGTGTTGGAAATATGCCCTAGAGGCAATAATAAAATGATTATTATTATATTTCTTTGTTTATGATAATTGTCTATTATTCATGCTATAATTGTGTTATCCGAAAATCGTAATACATGTGTGAATAAATAGACCACAACATGTCCCTAGTAAGCCTCTAGTTGACTAACTCGTTGATCAACAGATAGTCATGGTTTCCTGACTATCACTAGTAGAAAAGGGGGCAATGGTCCAGGCCGGGTCAGCCCATTAGTTCCGGTTCAATCCAGAACCGGGACCAATGGGGGCATTGGACCCGGTTCGTGAGCCCCGGGGGCCGGCCGGGCCTCGTAGGCCATTGGTCCCGGTTCGCCTGGACCTATTGGTTTCGGTTGGTGGGACGAACCGGGACCAATGTGCCTCGCTCCTGGCCCACCACCAGTGGTCCCGGTTGGTGGAGTGAACCGGGACCAAAGGCTGCCCTTTAGTCCCGGTTCGTGGCACGAACCGGGACCAATTAGTTGCCTATATCTACCCCTCGCCCGCGAGCAGAGCACTCCCAGTGCTCTGTTTTTCGTGGCCGGCGAGGGGAGAGCTTTGTGGTGCTCTAGCTCACCTCCTATGCACACGAGGTGTTCGATGGAATGCCCGAGCCACACTACTTAAGCTTTCTCCTCTCCAAGCTCGACCTCCAAGCTTCATTTTCCTCAATATTTGTCTAGGTTTAGCGGTCCGTCACGTCCCGTCCCTGTCTTCACCGCCGTCGATCGCCCGCGCCGATCTCGTCGCCAACACCACCGTGGTGAGCCTCTTGTTCTTATCTTCTTTCTGAAAGGAAAAAAAATCTTACTTGTATATTTATATAGATACTTGTATAATTTTCTTACTTTTATTATTGCATCTTATATAGTGCGATGGTTTTGGTATCCGCCCCCGTCGGCCCTCGTCCTGTCTATGATTCAGATGTGGTATATATATTATCTTTTCATAACTATTGGTTCATTTATTGTTTATGACAATTATGCCGACCAACATGACATAGATTTTATTTATCTAGGAGGTTGTTGAACCGGAAATTCCAACCGACCCTATTGTCGAGAGGTTAAATTTAGTTGAAGAAGAAAACAATTTGTTGAAGGAAAAAATTAGAAAAATTGAGGAGGAGAAGATGATATTGGAGTTGCATGTTGCGGATGTCGTCGATGATCACAAGATCAAGATGGATGCAATGCGCTTGAAGATTAGAAAGATTAGAAAATATGCCATTCATACCGAGGCTTGGTATCATTATGCCGTTGGATCAGTTGTTACATTGGTTGCGATTATGATTGCATTTGTTTTCGCATTGAAATGTTTTACATAGTTTCAGTGTATGGTTTAATTAATTTAGATGCTCTACAGAGCTTTATGTTGTTAGATGAGAACTATGTATGTACTTTGGTTTTAATGTGATGATGAACTTCTATTAATTTGGTCACTTAATTATCTATTCATGATGTTCTGTAATGATTTTTGACACACTTAATTATATATAATGCACGCAGATGAACCGGCAATGGATGTACGGTTCAAGACACACCTCCGAGTACATTAAGGGCGTGCATGATTTTCTCGAAGTGGCTGAGGCAAACAAGCAGAATGGTTTTATGTGTTGTCCATGCCCTATATGTGGGAATACGAAGTCTTACTCTGACCGGAAAATCCTCCACACCCACCTGCTTTACAAGGGTTTCATGCCACACTATAATGTTTGGACGAGGCACGGAGAAATAGGGGTTATGATGGAAGACGGCGAAGAAGAAGAGTACGATGACAACTATGTGCCCCCTGAATACGGTGATGCTACTGAAGATCAAGAGGAACCAGACGATGTGCACGATGATGCTGCAACGGGCGAAGCTGCTGAAGATCAAGAGGAACTAGACGATGTGCCCGATGATGATGATCTCCGCCGGGTCATTGTCGATGCAAGGACGCAATGCGAAAGTCAAAAGGAGAAGCTAAAGTTCGATCGCATGTTAGAGGACCACAAAAAAGGGTTGTACCCCAATTGTGAAGATGGCAACACAAAGCTCGGTACCGTATTGGAATTGCTGCAGTGGAAGGCAGAGAATGCTGTGCCTGATAAAGGATTTGAGAAGCTACTGAAAATATTGAAGAAGAAGCTTCCAAAGGATAACGAATTGCCCGACAGTACATACGCAGCAAAGAAGGTCGTATGCCCTCTAGGATTGGAGGTGCAGAAGATACATGCATGCCCTAATGACTGCATCCTCTTCCGCGGTGCGTACAAGGATCTGAACGCATGCCCGGTATGCGGTGCATTACGGTATAAGATTAGACGAGATGACCCTGGTGATGTTGACGGCGAGCCCCCCAGGAAGAGGGTTCCTGCGAAGGTGATGTGGTATGCTCCTATAATACCACGGTTGAAACGTCTATTCAGAAACAGAGAGCATGCCAAGTTGATGCGATGGCACAGTGAGGACCATAAGAAAGACAGGAAGTTGAGAGCACCCCCTGACGGGTCGCAGTGGAGAAAAATCGAGAGAAAGTACTGGGATGAGTTTGCAAGTGAGCCAAGGATTGTATGGTTTGCTTTAAGCGCGGATGGCATTAATCCTTTCGGGGAGCAGAGCAGCAATCACAGCACCTGGCCCGTGACTCTATGTATGTATAACCTTCCTCCTTGGATGTGCATGAAGCGGAAGTTCATTATGATGCCAGTTCTCATCCAAGGCCCTAAGCAACCCGGCAACGACATTGATGTGTACCTAAGGCCATTAGTTGAAGAACTTTTACAGCTGTGGAATGGAAATGGTGTACGTACGTGGGATGAGCACAAACAGGAGGAATTTAACCTAAAGGTGTTG